TTGGTCGCTCGCTATCCCTCTTTCTCTCTCTCTCTCTCTCTCGCTCTCTCTCCCTCTCTCACGCCGTTCTCCTCTCTTTCTCTCCCTTTCTGGCGAACACAGACGCGGTGGTGTGTGCCAGCAAAGCTGCCAGACCAGAGCAGAGGTGGTGCATTTCTCTGCGCTGCGCTTTCGATCGACCCGTTGCCAGAGGTTCTCTCCCTCCCCCTCTTGCCCCGTCCCCTCTTTCTCTATTTCACCCTTACACTCTCTCTCTCTCTCTCTCTGTTTCTCCTCTACGTTTCCCTCCTCGCTCTCGTTTCTCTCCCTTCTACGCTCGTCTCTATTTCTCCCCCGGTTGGCCTTTCTCTCCTCTGTCGTCGTTCTGTCCCTTTCTCCTCCTCCTCCTCCTCCTCCTCCTCTCTTTCTCTCTTTCTCCTTGCTTCCCGCCCCTCCCCCCTCTCCCACCGCCCCGGCACCTCTCGTGCATTTCCCTCTTTCGTCCTCGTCGCACCGGCTCGCGTTTCTTCCTCTCTTCGTCCGGCGCGCTCTCGTTACCCCTTTCAACCCCTCCAGCTACTCCAGCGCGTGCAACCGTGTCCCCTTCTCTTTCTTCTTTCCTCTCTCACTCGACGTTTCCCCTCTTTCTCTTTTTCTCCTCTTCCTGCTCCTGCTGTTTCTCTTTCTTCCGTTCTCGGATTTTCCACGCTGTTGTCCACGGCTTCTGTCTCTGTCCGTCGATGCCGACAGGGTGCATGCGCCGATCGCTTCTAAGTTTAATTCTTCGGATAACTTTTAGCGATCGTGCTAAGACGCTCTCTCATGCTCCATAATAAAAAAAAAAAAAAAAAAAAAAAAAGAGAAAAGAAAAAAGAAAAAGAAAATGGGAAGAAAAAGGAAAGAAAGAAGGAAATAAAACTCAAATCGCGCGTGTATCGTCGATTTGATCGTACGTCGCGGCGCAGACTGCGAAACAAAAAGTGCCTGTGCTGTCGAGATTTCGATTCGCTCGGGAAATTCAAACGGATTTCGCAAGGCAACTGAGTTTCGGCAGCGGAGGTAGTTTATGTAACGCGTCGTTAAAATCGATAAGACGAGAGAGTTGGCGAATGATCTAAGAATACGGAGGAATACGTTCGTCCTCTCTCGTGCGCAGTTACTACGCGGAGAACATTCGGAGGGAACTCGGCGCTTGGTCGGAACGCGGAGCGGTCGTTTCAGCTCGAACGAGAAATGGTTCGATCAAATTGCCGAAAAACGTTTGCATTTCGAAATCGTGCCTATTTCACGGGATGGGGTGATTAATTAAATTCACCCCGAGTTCCCATGAAACTCGAGTCAAAATACGACACTCGCCATTTGCATTTTTCACATTATCATCGCGCTCGTAACGCCGTGGCGTGTTGCCTGAAAACGATTATCGCCACGTTATTATTGAAGGACAATTTCTTCTGGTCTGGTAAATTTGCAAGCCAGACAGCCGTCTACAAAAATCCTGCAGTGTTTTTCTCCCGTCCTTGTTTACACCTCCTTTGAGTACGTGCTTTTTCTACGATGCGTCCCTCTCGCACGGCTTCTCGTCCGTTGTCCTCTGGCAACCCCTTTACGGGGACGTGCGTTTAACCCCAGCGCCACCCTTTACCCATACCCCCATCCTCCTTTCCCATTCACGGCTCGCTGCATATACCGATCACCGTTCGAACCGCGTGAACGTAAATCGGTCAAAATCGATCGAGGCTGATGGTCTCTCTAGAATCAAAAGCATTTAACGATTTTTGTTCTTCGATCGTTCATTCCGTTCGTCTGTGTCGAGTGTTCGATTCCTTCCTTCTTTTCGGAACACCGAGTACGTGGAATCCGACTGGCCCAGACCCTGGCCCAGAGTCACGGCCACTCGAGATCGGTAACCCCGTTCACTTTGGCTAAACGAGCGTCGCTCGTAAGCGTACACGTACGTGGCTCGTTTTTTTTTTTTTTTTTTTTTTTTTTTTTTTTTTTTTTTTT